GGAATGCCCCGAGCAGACCCCCTTCCCTGCAGGCTCCCAGACCAGCCAGCCAGCCCCGAAAGGCTCCTGTTATCGGCAGCGTCCCAAAGCCTCCTGCCTCGACAGCACGGGAGGAGGCCAGTACTTCCAGGCTGCTCCAGCCTCCTGAGGTGCCCCGAAAGCCTGCCAACACTCCAGTCAAGACTGCATCCCGGCCCGCCCCTCCTGTGCAGCCACCATCACCATCTCTGCTGCCCAACTCCAAGAGCCCTCGGGAGGTCCCCGTCCCCCGAGCCATCAAGACTCCAGTGGTCAAAAAGCCGGAGCCTCCCAGTAAACTCTCCCTGGTGAGATGCTCCTCCTTCTCCTGCCCTGCCCACAGTGGTATAGGAATGGAGGGGGCAGCATTGACTGCATGGGGGGCGGTGGGGGGTGGACAAGCCTCAGTGGAGATCAGCCTTCCGTGCTGCCCCTGCAGAGGAGGAGTCTGATAGCTGAAGGCACTCAATGGGGGGCACTGAGCTTGCTGGTTCCCTGTCCAGGGAGCTCTTTGGTGCCCCCTCCAAGGTTTGGTCCTCCACAGACTTGAGTTGCCTTCACTGGCTTCTCACGCGGTGGGCAGAGGTTGCAGCCTGGTGACAGCCTTGGTGGGCTGCAGCAGTGGTTGGCGTGGTTCAGTGGGGAGTGAACTGAGAGGCTCCCCTGTGACAGCTTTGAGCAAAGGTCCTCGTGGGCGTAGAGGCCGGGGGTTGCTGTGTCCCTAGTACTGTTGGGATCCCAGCCCTGGCGGGGACAGAGACCCACAGACCCCTCTCTGAATGGCTCCTTTAGGCCAGATGGGATCTTCCAGCACCTGAGGGGCTGCCAGGGTCCCTCATGTTCCCGCTCCTCTTGCTGTAGGCCACTCCTGGTCGGAAGCGGAGTCTTGGGGTCTCTGATGAGGAAGAAGCCGAGGAAGAGGCTGAGAGGAGGAAAGAGAGGTCCAAGCGGGGCAAGTTTGCCGTGAAGGAGGAGAAAAAGGACTTGAATGAGGTAGGTTCTCAGCATTCTCCCTCCCCAGGGTCTCCACCCGCCACCTGCAGTCTGTGACACGAGCCTTTCAGAAGCCTAGTCCATCTCTGAAGGACACTCAGTCACACAGACGACTAGAAACACGGTGCCTGGTAGGATCTTGAGTTGAGTGAGACTGGCTTGTGGCTGTACTCACAGGCTTGAGGTGACACCGACGCAGATCTACTTCCGTGTCTGTGACATTCTGCCCCTATGCCTGCTCTCTTGTTTACTGACGTTTTTGGAGGCAGGTGTGTAGATACTGAGATAATGGTTGAGAGAGTGGCTCTCAGTGAGGCCTGGGGATTTAAACAGCCGCATGAGACGACATGAGGTGATGGCTTATGACCCTGGGTGGACAGTCTGTTCTTTAGGGGCACTGGCGGTGCCTCTCATAGACTCTGTTCTTGCAGCTCTCAGACAGTGCTGGGGAAGAGGACCCAGCTGACCTCAAGAGCGCTCAGAAAGGTGAGTTTAGGGAGGTGCCCGGAGCCTGTGGGGAAATGGGAAGGGGGACCCTTGCCAGCAGCACCATATTCTGAAGGCTCATGGAGGCTTTTCTGGCTCCAGGCTCTCAAGCAACAATGGTTTCAAGTCTAATTCTGAGAAGAATGCTGAGGCTAGCACGCCCTCGTGTTTATTTTTAGCATCAGTTTCTTGGTGTTCACCTCTGGCAGTTATCATGCTGCTCTGCGGCACTCCACTCTCATGACAGTTGGGGAGGGAGACAAGGGTGGCTGGGCTCCGTGTCCCTGGCATAGTGGCGTCAATCTCCTAGGGGTTCTTGTCCCTGTGAACCTGGGATGACCTTTCCCAAGGTGGCCCTGGCTGGGTGGGGGGCTCTAGTCTAGTTTTCTAACTCCATCTGCACTCTCAGATAAAGGGCTGCACGTGGAGGTGCGTGTGAACAGGGAGTGGTACACAGGCCGTGTCACAGCCGTGGAGTTGGGCAAGAACGTGGTGCGGTGGAAGGTGAAGTTTGACTATGTGCCCACGGACACGACACCAAGAGACCGCTGGTAATGCCCCTTCTAGGAGGCTGGGTTGACAGAGTTGGGCAGGGGCAGGCAGCCCATCCTGGGAGCCTGGGACACATGTGACACAAACACTGGGTCCTCCCTAGGGTGGAGAAAGGCAGTGAGGATGTGCGGTTGATGAAGCCCCCTTCCCCGGAGTATCAGAGCCCGGACACGCAGCAGGAGGGCGGGGAGGAGGAGGAGGAGGCAGCGGTGGCCCAGCAGGCTGTAGCCATGGCGGAACCCTCCACCTCAGACTGCATTCGCATTGAGCCCGACACCACCGCCCCGAGCACCAACCACGAGACCATTGACCTCCTCGTCCAGATCCTTCGGTGCGTTGTCGTCCTGCTCCGGGGTCAGCGCTGGTTCTCCACTAGCTCTGTGCCATTCTGATTTCCAATCTCCACCTTCTTTCTTGTTTAGGAATTGTTTACGGTACTTCCTGCCTCCGAGTTTCCCCATCTCTAAGAAGGAGCTGAGTGCTATGAATTCAGATGAGCTAATATCGTTTCCTCTGGTGAGTCTGCCCAGCCTTTGGTTTTTGACTCTGCATGCCCCCCTTGGTGCTTGTTGTGATTGTCAGCTCTCAGCTGTGTGCCCCCTTCCCCGCTTGGCCAGCTTCCCTTTCATCTGCTGAGGGAAGGGAAGAGGGGACTTTACATTGTGGAAAAAGAAGCTGCTCAGCCGGATGACTGGTGTGCAGCTGGTGAGATGCTGGGGTGGAGTGGAATCCTCGCTTAGGGACAGGCCCGGTGTGACTTGTGTGGAGTACGTGCCTTTTCCTCTGTCAAGGCAGGAGACAGTAAAGAGCTTAGGTTCAAAGTGCCGGAAACGTGACTCTCGGAGGTATAGGAAAGCTCATGGTGTGTGGAGATAAGCGTGGGATCTTATTTAGCAAATGCAGATGCAGTGCCTTAGTGCTGGAGCCTCCAAGTGGCTTAAGAGTCAGTAGAGACTGAATTTTTAGCAGGTACCGAGACATGAGGCTGAGAGCAGTAAGTGCTCTGCAAGGTGGGTGGGAGGGCTGGGGCAGCCTCTGGGAGGGGGAGAGAGTGACCAGGGCTAAAGAAAATGTGGGTTTGGGCGAGTGTTTGTAGAAGTGATGGGAAGTGATTGAGGCAGAGGGACTGTTGGTGAACAAAGGCTCAGGGATGCAAGGGCAGATGGGGGCCAGGGCAGTGGTCTCTGTGGTGAGCACTCAGGGAGAAGGGCCCTCAGACCCAGGATAGGAGGCATCGGGGGCACCCCCCTGAGGTGCAGTGGCTTAAACTTTCCATGAAATGGAGGCCCAGCTAAAGGTTTGAGCGGATGGAATTGTCGACTTGAACCATGTCTGGGGCAGGGGTCAAGAGGCTTATTCTGTAGAGGCCAGTTAGCAAATATTTTCAGCTTTATGGGCTGTAAGGTGTCTGTGGCAACTATTCAGCTCTGCCGTTACAGTGTGGAAGCTGCCATAAGACCATATGCAAAGGAATGGATGTGACTGAGGTCTAGTAATGCTTTGTTTACAAAAACAGGTGGCAGGCTGATTTGGTCACAGGCAGTGAGTAGTCTGTTGACCCTGCCCCTAAGAGGGTAACTCTGGTTCTGGGTAGGAGGGTGGATGGGAGACACAGGGACAGGGAAGCTGGTCTAATGGTGATAGGTCAGGGAGGGGGGATGGGAGCTCTGACAGGTGAAGGGGCCATGTCAGGGGTCCTTCTTTGACTGAAGGCAGGTGATGGAGAGGAGGCAGAGGTCACGTGCTTCCCTGTCTCTCAGGCCTGTGGGAATTGGAGGTTGATGACAAAGCTGTTAACTGGGAGAGAAACAGGGTGAGGGTGAGGAAGAGAAGTGATTTGACTTGGGCTGGAAGTACCAGCACTTCATTTCTGGTGATGTCCAGTGGACAGGACACTGGAGATTGGGGCTGGCACTTGGGAGGGGCGGGAAGGGCAGGGCTGGAGATGGGGATTGGGGGTCATCCACATCAAGAGGATGTTTCTGCTGTAGGAATAGCTTACGTTTTCTAGGGAGGAGTTTCTGGAGAGGACAACTGGAATTGAAACTGCAGGGTTAATACGTTTAAGATGGCAGGCCCTTGTGGGCAGCTGTATGCTTGATAAAGTTTGCCAGAGAGGAAAACATGGATGTTTGTCTCCATTCTACTTTAAAAAAGGGAAATGAGGCTAGGAGCTGAAGAAACCCAGGGGCAGAGAGGTGAACAGTCTGTCTTAATAGATCCCAGATTTGAACCCAGAACAACTAGTTAGGACAAGGGTCTTGCTCCCCTGCGAGATGAGGGGGCACTGCACCCTGGGGAAGCTAGAAGGTGCAGAACTCATGGTGGCTTCACAGAAAGCTGCTATACCTCAACGCTTACCCTTGTTCAGGCTGCAGGCATCCTCTGCAGATCCCAGGAACAAACAGCTGATAGGCCAGCTAGGTCAGCCTGGCATGTTTGTTGCTCTTGGCTTAAAGTTGTTGCCAAATTCAGAGTAAAGCTTGGGTGCAGTGGGATCTTTGCAGTGGCCCTGACCGCTCAGACCAAAGCACAGTCAGTAGGAGCATCTGAGCCTAAAATAGTCTGTTGGCTTATGCTTGTAAAGGGAGGTGTACCACTAATGCATCAGTTTAATAGCCACCTAAGTGAAATGCCTAAAATAACTCAAACTTTAATTTTTTTAACGTTAGGGACACAACAAGAGTCTAATGTTCATTGTATCCTTGTCAGTTTGTAAATGACTGTCCTTTTGCTCATCATGCTGGACTAGGAGTTCCAGACTGTCAGGGGTCCTGCAAATACAAGATTAAAAAAAATTAATATATATATATACATATATATATATACTTTAAAGGTAACGTAATTGCCTGTGAATCTTTAATGGCCTAAAAGTGGGAAAAAAAAATTTAAATGAATACAAATCATAGTTAGGCTTAAGACATTGTGTATTACATTTTAATACTTTAGGCACCTGCTTGAACATTTATTTTTGCGCTGCCAAGTGATAATTATTTTTTGTGCAGAATTTGAAGTTTCTGTTGCCATCCTGATTTACTGGGATAGTATTCTAGATTGTAAACAATTAGTTCTAACACGTTTTAAAAACAGCGGTTTTTAGCTGTTCAGTGCTAGGTAGTTCATACATCTTCACAGAAGTAAATAAATGCTAGAGTTGGCGAGACTGCAGTTGTTAGCCAGGACCTCCTGGTCATGGGTTTGTGTTCATCAGAATGGCCTCATCATTCACATTGGTGATTTATGAGTAAATCATAATGTTATAACTTTGAAATTAAACATAGTTATTACCCAAATTGTTTTTTATACTGAGATTCCATGTAACTTTCATTTGAAACAAGTGTTCTGCTATAAAGCCCCATGTCTAGAGAAAGTGCTAGTTAACATTACTGCCCCACCCCCAGGAAGTTTCAGGTACTCAGGGAAGATGGTGAAAAGCTCTGATGCTGTATAAACATACTACACAAACCTGGAGGAATCTGTTGTTTATAGGTGCTTGATAAAATACTTGTGGAAGAGAACTTTTGATCTTGACATTGTTGGTTGTGACTTGGAAGTGGTTTGCTCAAAGTGCTGTTGTGCACTTAGAAAGGTGAATGGTGAGAATCATCCCTCACATTTACTCACGGCTGGCAGTCTGCCAGAGCACTTTGGTACGTGCTTCATGTGTGATCCCGTCTTCGTCCTCGTGGCAGCCCTGTGAGGTGGACGTCGAGGTCTTCCTTCTCTGGAGCTAGAGAGATCACTTACTTCTGGGTCCGGCATCCCTTCAGACTGAGCTTCCTTGTGCTGAGCCAGTTGGGGACACCAGTGCCCATCTAGAAGGGCACTGGGGACCCTCGTGAGCTCACGCACTCACCCACCGCTCCTCTCCCAACAGAAAGAGTACTTTAAGCAGTATGAAGTGGGGCTCCAGAACCTGTGCCATTCCTACCAGAGCCGCGCCGACTCGCGGGCCAAGGCCTCCGAGGAGAGCCTGCGTACCTCCGAGAGAAAGCTCCGTGAGACAGAGGAGAAGCTGCAGAAGCTGAGGACCAACATCGTGGCGCTCCTGCAAAAGGTGCAGGAGGTGAGCCAGGCAGCCCTCTCATTGTAGCGGACCACCTGGTGTCTCAGGGAGGGGGGGCTTGGGCACCTCCTGCTCCCTTCTCCCCACTCACAGGAATCTGTGGTTCCAACCCTGGCTGCACAGCATCCTGACCAGGAGGGCTGGAGGTGGTGCGGCTGCCTGGGCCTCATCCCAGCCAGACCCACGGTATCAGACTTTTGCCCTTGTTTAGACATTCTGATATACAACCTGGTTTGAGAACCCTCCAAGTTATAAAACAGAAAGACATTCTCACTTTTCCAGATGACGCCCAGATGGGATCAGGTAGCCCAGAAGCAGGGAGCGCCCTGTAGGGTCTCAGCCCTTTATCCAGGCAGTAAACATTGAGGACAACTGCTCTGTGCCTGTCCTGGGGACCCTTGGTGAAGCAGACAGGCAAGATAGGGGTCCTGCTCTCATAGCCCAACAAGTGGAGGAGACAGAACTACTGTTGGCGGGAAGTGCTGTGAAGGAAATATGAGAGAGACAGAAAACAGGGATGCCACTTTACTAGGGTGTTCAGGGGAAGCCTCTCTGAGGAGGTACTTGAGCTGAGGGCAGAACCAGTCACGCAGGAGTGGGACCTGAGAGCTCTGGGGATGAGAGCTCTGGGGAGAGGGAAGAGCAGGGCCTGAGGCCCAAGGCAGGGAGATGTGGGCGATAGAAGAAGCAGGGCCCTGTACCAGGTGGGAAGTCTCTGGAGGGTGTGGCACTAAGACGTTTGCGATCTAAGACATTTACTCTGGTTGGTTGTAGGAGGGCCTGGAGGGGGGGGCGGGTTAGAATCCGGGACTCCAGTGAGGAGGTTCCCACAGTTGTCTGGGTGAGAGATTCTGGCAGCCTGAACCTTGGATGGTGACAGTGAGGAGGGAGAGAAGTGGGCAGATTTGTTGTAACGTCTTGAGGGAAGGGGAGGAAACAAGGGTGATGGTTGTGGTTTGTCTGAGCCCCTGGGTGGAGGGGAGGCGGTGGTGGCCTGTACCAAGATGGAGCAACTTGGGGTGGGTGGTGCCGTTGAGCTGTTGGATGTTTTGAGTCTGAGAAGCCTGCAGCATGGCTAAGGCAAGCCGGGAACCTGGGGTAGAGGCAGGGTAGGAGCAAGAAATCTGGGCGTCATCTGTGCACAGAGGAGGGAGTGGGCGGATGATCAAGAAGGGACAGGCCTGACAGCCAGGGTGGAGGGGCGAGAGGAAGGGGCACGGGCTGCAAGAAGGGTGGGGAGGCGGGCCCCCCACGACCTTGTGGCCCCCGGCTGACCCTGCACTGCTCTGTTCCAGGACATAGACATTAACACAGATGACGAGCTGGATGCCTACATCGAGGACCTGATCACCAAGGGGGACTAAGAGGCCTGGAGCCAGAGATCAGCTCCCCTGCCCATCAAGGCAGAGCTCCTGGGGGTGGAGTTTCATTTATGGGTTGATGGACTTACCTTGGTTTGACTCACATGGGATATTTGTGCTTTTGGAGGGAAAGA